AACTGGCACCACCCTAAGGAATTCAGAGGGTTTAGTTGCTGTCATTGGGGGTTAGAGTTAGTCTGGTGAGATTCTGTCTAGTAGGTGTAAGCTAATAAAGTAACTGAACTGTTCCTGAATCATCCCACTGAGTTTCTTGGGCTGAACCTGACATCAATCTCGCCAGACTCATACTCCCGTCGAGAGGGAGGAATTTTTAAGTATGGCAATGGATCCCCAGGGGGCTAATTTGACACCCCAGCTTTTGGCAGTGGCTTCGTTACAACTTCAACAGCAGGTCGATGCGCAAATTAATAATCTGCAAGAAGTCATGGGTAACTCAGCACAGCAACTAAACACTCTGAATTCCTTAGGGTGGTGCCAGTCTCATCCTCTTAGTTTTCACACGCTTAGACTACGGGCTGAGGAGATGCTTGAGATTCCTCTCCCCTTGACCTTGGACCTCCTCCCTCCAGTCTTCCACCACAAGTAGCTCTTCTATTGGTGTGTACAAGGCCCTGCTGCTTTAAATTCTGGTCCTAATTAATCATCAATGATGGATCTATAACCTCCATGACCCTTTTGGATAATTTTCAATCATTCTGGTAGAAAAGTATTATCTGAACTTAGATACTATGCTTGTTCAAAGCAATATTTGATTTTATTTGGGTATGACAGAGCTAACTTAGAAATGAAGTAATATATCTTAAATATTGATCTTTCAAATGACCAGAGCACGCCTTCCCACCTCCCTTTTTTTTAAATGGTGTTGGTCCTACAGAAGATCGCTCATTCCACCTTCCCATCTAATATCTCATGTGTGTAGCGCTTGGGAGCTTTAATGTTTTGCCATGTGTGTTAGTTGAAGGAAGACATAGCAACATGCAAGACTGACTATGCCTCTTCCTTTTTGGGGAAACAGTCACATATGTCTTATGTGTTGGCCATTGTAAAAGAATTGGTGGTCAGCAATGTAATAATTCCCCTATTGTCAAATTCCATCGGTAGGTCAGAACAGGAGAATGATCTCCACTTCTGGACACACTTGTGTCCAGAAATTTCTAGAAAGATAGTTTTGTCCCACAGCCATTGCTTTTTAGGAATTAATAGCCTAGGTATTCCTTTAAAAAGCATGCATGTATGTGTACCTATAAGTGTGTATGTATAGGAATAGTTAATTAGATCAGAAAAACTTTAGTATTTGTTTGTTATCTTTTCAATGTCCTCTATGGTTATATGTATTATCTACAGCCAACTGGACTCTGACTGTAAATAAAGCTGATGATGATGATGAAGAAGATTCTAAACCTGATAAAAGGATAGTTATTCTAGTTTTTGCTAATTACTCACTAAAATATATGGTTGGATTAATAGAAGAATAATATGAAGAATAAATCTATAGGAGCGACATTTAAATTTCCTTTCTTTATAACAGGTCTTCCTGAAGAGACCTCTGGTGAGTCGCCAGCTTTTTTTTTCCATTCCAAAGCTGAAACTTTCTGATAAAATATTATGCATAAATGATAGTTATCAGAAATTCCAATTAGAGTTTTAAAAAAAAATTACCTTGTTCAGGATTGGTCTTTCTATATCTAGAAGTTCAGTGAAACTATTGTTGGCTCCATGGCTATGGCTATCATCTCATAGAACAATCCAGTCTTCCTTGTTTGATGATATATCATTGAGGAAAAAAGACTTTGTGACTGTTTCATATTATAAACATTGTAAATGTCTAGTATTCAAAGGTCCTTCCTTAGTGAGCTAAGAGATCATATATAAGCAGTTTAGTACTAAAGATATCCCACCAGTATCATGTTGGGGAGTAACACAGGTTTCACGTAGCATATACAATTTATTTCATGTCTGGCTTCAGTGTCATTATCCCCCAAATATGTTCTATAATCTGATTTTTTGTGGTTTTTTTCTAGCTGCTTCTACTGTACTTGCAGAAACAACTGTACATACAGAAAAGGTCCCTGGTAAGAAATGGCCAGGAAAATGCACGCTTTTACTTTCTATAACTATGCATTAATAAGTGATCAAAAACATAGTCCAGTAATTGATTGTTAAATTCACATCACTTATTGCACTTTATACAAAAGGTTTCAGTGGAAGGAACATCTGGGGATTTAATTGAAGTGCTGGAACCTGGGTGGCCATAAGCCACTTGGAGAGATAATTGTCCATTGAAAGAAAAAAAAATTGACAAGAAAAGCAATGTCAGAACTCTGTCAAACAAATAACTAGTTATATCTGACAACATTCAGGTTTTGCACCTCTTCATATATTTTCACCGCTACTGTATTCTCAAATGAATAATAATAAATTGTCTTATTCATTTTTTGCTCAGGCAACCAAGAGTATTATATATACCTAGAAATGGATACCTTAAAACAGACACACCAAAGCTGTCCCATGGTCCAGAATCTTCAAGACAGAGAATTATACGGCTGCCATGAACCTTCCTCAATTAATTTTGAAAGTGTTGTTTTTTTAAATATCCCAGTGCTTAGTACAATATCATATTTCAGCACAGATATGAAGATACATCAATAAAGAAAATAGACTTTATTGAGTCATCACATTGGCTAGGGGCTAGTATTAACTGTGTACCATTAGTATAGAAACACTGTTAGAGAGAAAGGTCCAAAGAAATACAATATAGGCAGTTCACTGCTGAATAGATTAAATGGTATCTCTTTGGATATTTCACCCTTTCAGTGTTATGCTGGGTGGAAGGGTAAAGTTCACTAATTATACATAATTTTTAATTATTGGCTTCAGTATTCTTACCCGAGTAATTATAGATTCCATGCCTTATGTGTTTTTTTAGCTGTAACCACTACACATGAATTTCCTTCACACACAGAAAAGCCACATGGTAAGTCTGCATACTTAATACCCAAACTGAACACTATGAAGTAACATATTTTATATGTCGTTCATTACATAAACTTATATAAGACATTTGAACTAATCCTATTTGAAGGCAAAATTTTCAAAACTTTTTTACATATCCTTAGAGTATCAAATGCGTCAAGATTTCCAGTCTTCCATTCAAAAACACGGTTTCTGTCTCATCTTTTTCAGGTAAATCTATAAGACTGGTCAATGGAAGAAACAGATGTGAGGGACGTGTTGAAATCTTTCACAATCGAACATGGGGGACCGTCTGTGATGATTCCTGGGACCTAAATGATGCAAGGGTCGTGTGCAGGCAGCTCAGATGCGGAAGCGCTATTGGAGCACATGGACAAGCTTACTTTGGTCAAGGGTCAGGAAAAATAGCTCTGGATGATGTAGCTTGCAGAGGGAATGAAGAAAAATTGGAGGAATGTTCTCATAGAGGATGGTATAGTCATAACTGCAACCATGGAGAAGATGCTGGTGTCCCCTGCTCAGGTACCTTCTGTAGTCTGAAATGTAGTAGCATAAAGGATAAATAAAATAAAATAATACAATACATTTACATGTTTTCCTTATAGTGAAACTGTTCACTATGCTCATGAATGACTCCATCTTGGAGGGAAGGTATTGGGTGCCACAAGGCTGGCTCCCTTCCCTTTGCTGTTCAACATCTTAATCAATGACTTGGATGCAGGAGTTGTGGGAAGATGAATGAGTGTAATGCAGTCTGGGACTCAGATGATTAAACTGAAGAATGGAGCCAACACTTTGCAGATGATACCAAGCTGAGAGTGGTGGTTAATATTT